CCCTGGCATCAGAAATATTAATAGCTAACATTTGCACAGTGCTTTATGGCTGATAAAATACACTCATATACTTGATCTTATTTAGCCCTTGAAATAGTCCTTCCAGGTCGTTACGATAATCACCGCCATTCTTTTACAGATCAGGAAACTGAGGCTGAACATGACTTGTTCAGAGTGACACAGTTACCACTAGGCAGATTTAGGAGTTGAACTTGTATTTGTGTGATTCGTAAGTATAGCAGAGTGGCCCAGCTGATGTGCCACATTTGGAGAATTCAAAGTTCGGGACATAGCCGTCTTCTGTGCAGAGTGGAGGAGGAGGGCATCTGCAGGGCTGATGGTCACCAAGGCCCACCTGAATAGAGATGGCAAACCCTCAATTCAACCGTGTTCTCCAAACGGCAGGTAACAAGATAGTATGGGAGCAGTAATGATGCCTCTTCCAGGAAAGCTTTGTCACCTTCAAAGTGTTCTCATGTTATCTCATGAGAGGCCCGAGGAAGACCTAATCGTCCTGGTTTATATAAGAGGCCCAGGGAGCTGAGGAACTTGTTGAAAATCTGCAAAGCCAACGAGTGATGGAGCCAGGACGAGAACCCACAGTTCCCCAATCCCATACTCCTTCTACCTCTTTTTAGGGCAGCTGGGTCTGAAGGGGGTCCCTGATCCTGAGCAAGGGCCAAGGGTGGCATGTTCCAGCCAACCTCCTTGTTTGGGAGGAACCAAGACAGTGTGCCGAGGTTTCCCTTTAAGCTCTGTGTTTGAGCTCTGCCTGCAGAAGGCACTTCAATTGCTCCTCCGACCTGTACCCAGCCTGGCTCCCTGTGAGCCTTCTCTGCCACACTGTTGCTCAAGGGGAAGAGAGAAATCAGAGGGGCGGTAAAGCGTTTAAATTGGTTCCTGAGTTTAGCAGGATTCTTTCATCTGCAGTCGCCAGATGTTTACTTGTGTTTACAATTCAGTGGGAAGATAAAGATTACACAAGGAAGGACCTCAAAGAGTCCCAGGCTTCCAGAACTGGAAGAGACTTCCGAGATTCTGATAGAATCAGAAGAGTCAGTCAGGGCTTAATCAGTCTCTGAATGATTAGCACAGGGAGATCAGCTCGGTGCTTTGCAACCACCTAGACGGGTGGGATAGGGAGGGTGGGAGGGAGTTGTGAGAGGGAGGGGATATGGGGATATATATATATATATATATATATATATATATATGTACAGCTGATTCACTTTGTTATACAGCAGAAACTAAGATACCATTGTAAAGCAATTATACTCCAATGAAAATGTTTAAAAAAAAAAAAAAGAAAGAAAGATCCCCCATCCCCACTTCACTGATTGTTCTGGGAGAAATGCCTTCTACCTGGAGATGGGGAATGGCTGGTTGGTCTCAGAGGGAGATAGGTAGAAAAGGCCCCAACTGCACCAGAATTTTATATTTTATAGCTTTTCCCAATCCTGCTCCCTCTTCAATTCCAGAGAAAAGGCAGGATATAAGATAGATGAACAGGGCTATATTCTCCCTGCATCTGGAACCTAGATCCACAGGTAAGGATACGGGAAAGATTTTCATTACAGCTCATTAAAAACCCAAGCCCATTTATAATACAGTGTCTTTGCACGCTAAAGACACTTCCTGGCAAGGACTCAGTGGAACACGGAGGATATTGTTTTAATCGGCTGTGATTTACATTTGTGCCGGCTAACGAAAATCTTCTGATTATATTCAGCTGATTAATAACCACCCATGCCCAATCATAAGAAAATATTCTGTTCTTCCATAAGAGTAATATTCTTATTAAAACCTACCAGAAAATACTTATAAATTAGTGGAATATTTGATAAATATTTTTAATGGTCTTGTGGGCCTCCATTGTATCAGTGAAGGAATCTATAGGTAAGCAGTTCTCTGGGAACGTTCTGATCTACCACCCAAGACTGGGATACTTTCTGTGTGTTGAATGTTACATCAGGCTTTGCAGATCATTGTGAGAGAAGCAGCAGACAGAATTCCTCACTGTGAGGTGCTTGCCATCTAAAAATATAGCTGGATAGACACCAACAAAATAAACACACACACAGCCTCTCGGAACCCCTCTTACAAATATTTGAGTGCATTCTACATGCCAGGTGCTATTCTAAAGCTTAAGGAGTACAGTGATAATACAGGGAGGGTCTTTGCCTTCAAGGAATAGATCTATACATTCTTATGACTTATCCAATCCACCTTCCCTGACTTTGCTCTTGCCATCTCCTCCATCTTGACTGTCTCCCCTATGCTGTCCTGGTTTTCTGAATTCCACCCATTTTACACGGCCTGGGCTCTACCGCTCCTGTGAGCTCTCTTCCTACCCCAGAGATCTCTTCTTCCTCTGCCTCCTTTAATCCTCACTGCCTGCTCCACTTTCTGGTCACACACAGACGCTCTGCTATTGCTAATTATGTGTTCACGTGTTTCTGAGTTGTCTTCTTATGGGCAGAACTTGGATTTTCTTCATCTTGAATCTCCTTTATCCTCCACTGCCTAGCATGATGCCTTGTGTGTATTAGGTACTCAAAACATGTTTGTTAATTGGTTGATTTTTAAATATTATACGTACACTACAAGCTTAATGGTTAGGGGGGAATTAGTGAAATATATATAAAAAAGACAACCCACTCATTCAAAAAACTTAAAGTGATACAGTGTCTGAAATCCCAGCAGTAGAGATTCAGGCCTTTGGAAAAGATTCCTCTCATTTTCTAAAAAATACTCAGTTTAATACATTAAACTGAGTTTATTTACTTAAGTTATTAGTGACATCAGTTTTATTCTCCAATAAACACAAGAACTGAGCTGGATAAGAGTAGAGCTGGATTCTTAAACAGCAGAATCCTTGCTATGTATCAGGCATTGTGCTTGGTGTTGGGGTCCAAAGATGACTGAGACACAATCCCATCATTGAAAAGCTTATATTCTAGTCACCAGAATATTTTATAATCATTTCTTTGGGGGCTATGACGAAACCAAGCACAGGCATTGAAACAGCCCACCCTGGAGGATTGAGGGGAGGCTTCCTGGAGGAGTCATCAAGGAACATTCCTGCAGGCCTTCTCTGTCTGACTGCTTTCCCTCTTCTCTGATTGTAAACCGTTTCAGATGCCTCAAGACCCATCTCAAATATCACATCTTCTGAGAAGGTATCCCTAAGCCTCACAGGCAGAATGAATCCCTCGCTCTCTGATGCTCCTAAAACACCTCGCCCATCTTATTGTGGTGATTGTTTCTTTGTCTGTCCTCCCTACTCTCCCGCTCTAGCCCACATAGACGGTGAACTAGCAAACAGGGGACACTTTCCATTCATGTCAGTCTATCCAGCTCTAACCATGCCTGGCACATGGGAGATGGGAGGACCACTGTATAACTATAGTTGACCAAAGACCTCTCGGACATCACTGGGTCTCTGGCTCAGGGCTGGATTGTGCATCTCCAGGTCCCAAGCTGAGTGCCAGCTGGGATGTAGGAAGCAAGAACTGCCTGCCAACATTAGTGACAATCTGCTCATTGATTCCATTCAGCCCAATAAATACTTACTGAGAACTAGTTCCAATAAGAATAAGAATCTTGGGCTTCCCTGGTGGTGCAGTGGTTGAAAGTCCGCCTGCCAATGCAGGGGACATGGGTTCGTGCCCCGGTCCGGGAAGATCCCACATGCCACGGAGCGGCTGGGCCCGTGAGCCATGGCCGCTGGGCCTGCGCGTCCGGAGCCTGTGCTCCGCAACGGGAGGGGCCACAGCAGTGAGAGGCCCGCGTACCGCAAAAAAAAAAAAAAGTATAAGAATCTTGCTACCACTACTAGAAGGCCTACTGTTTGCCACGTGCTTTACATATATGATCTCACTTACTCTGTGTAACAACTTTGAAAAGTGTTATCTCCTTTACTAGCTCAGGAAAAGAGGCTCAGAGGGCTGATTTGCCCAAGGTCACGTATCACGCAGAGTGGTCTGAATGTAAAGTATATCTGCTGAGTCCTGCTCCAATTCAACATAGGGATTAAAAGTATATCTCCTGAGAGGTGAAAACAAAGGTTCAGGGGGCACACAAGATTCAGGGAGTGCCCATGGGAAGGTGGTAATCAGAAAGCCTTCATGGAGGTCGAGGCAGATCTGGCCAATGAATGAACTGGAAAAAACAGAAAGATCTTGAAGAGGTGACCTTCTTGATACTACATAGGATGCACCAATGCCTGTAAGCAAGGATGCAGAAGGGGTGGCGGAGCCTTAGATATCCCACTCAGGGGTCCTGCATGGGGGGATCTCCAGACTTACACATGTTTCCTCTCTCTTGTGCAAGAGATGGGGGAGAGGAGTAGGTGCTCTGAGGTGAGCCATCCCTAAGGTTCAGGTGCTGAAAGCGCATCCCACACATCCAAGACAGGTGGAGAGGGTCTGTGTCCCACCCCCTTTCTCCCCAAAGTAGAGGAGATGACCCTTCACTTCCCCACTAGGTCTTGTCTTGTCACCTTAGGGTATGGGGGGATGTCTTTCTCTCCCAGCATTGAGGAAGGGATAGTTCTTTTTCATCTCACCATAGGGTGTGTGTGTGTGTGTGTGTGTGTGTGTGTGTGTGTGTGTGTGCATGTCCGCGCGCGCGAGGGGAATGGCTTCATTCACACCTCAGGGTGGGGAGGTTGACACCTTTCTTTCCTTCAAAGGGAGTGGGGACAGTTTCCCGGACACGGTTCTTTTCTCCCCCAGTCAAAAAGGTGGTAAGGGCTCTGGGCTCTCTTGTCCCTATTTTGGGGGAGCAGGACTAGCTTCTACGCCCTCCCCAGAGAGCCACGCTCAGGTGGCTGGAGGCCTGGTCCTCCCCAGACCGCGAGTCCCCAGACCCCGATAGCCCGCTGCTCACAGCCGGCTGTACCGGCTGCGAGTCTGGGGCGGCGCCGGCTCTGCGGCGCGGGGCGGGGAAACCTGTGCCCCCGCCCCCCGGCTCCGCCCACTCCCTGGCGCTGAGCCTCGCACCTCCCCGCCCGCCCGGCCCAGTTGGCCGCGGCTGTCTGCTTGGCTTGCGCGCCGCGAACCGAGCCTCTGCCGCCTCAGCCGCTTCAGCCGCCTCAGCCGCCTCAGCCCCCGCCGCCGCTTCCGTCTCGCCCTCCGCGCCTCCCGGCTCCGCCGCCCCGCGCGCCCTCAGCCCTTCAAGCCAGATGATGAACTTCCTGCGGCGCCGGCTGTCCGACAGCAGCTTCATCGCCAACCTGCCCAATGGCTACATGACTGACCTGCAGCGGCCGGAGCCCCAGCAGCCGCCGCCGCCGCCGCCCCCCGGCCCGGGCGCGGCCTCGGCCTCGTCTGCGCCCCCGGTCGCCTCGCCGGGCCCCGAGCGGAGGCCGCCGCCCGCCCCGGCGCCCGCGCCGCAGCCCGCGCCGCAGCCGGCCCCGGCGCCGTCGGTGGGCAGCAGCTTCTTCAGCTCGCTCTCCCAGGCGGTGAAGCAAACGGCAGCCTCGGCCGGGCTGGTGGACGCGCCCGCGCCCGCGCCCGCCGCCGCCAGGAAGGCTAAGGTGCTGCTGGTCGTCGACGAGCCGCACACCGATTGGTAGGTGCCCGGTCGGCGCCGCCCGGGGGTCGGGGCCGCTGCGAGGATGCTCCGGCTCCCAGGGAGGTGTCAGAGCAACGAAAAGGAGGGTCTGGGGTCCCGCCTCGAGGAGAGGGGGTCCAGCGAGCGTGTGTGTGTCGAGGGCGGGGGGAGGCACTGGTCAGCCTGGAAACGTGAAGCCTGCGGTAAAATAGTCCCTCATTTGACTCAGATCCCCCCAACACATAAATGCTGGAGCCACTTTATCCAACAGGGAAGAGTCTTAAGAAATAGTCTTTTTTTTTTTTTGAGGGAGGCGTGGAGGGAACAGACTTTTCTGCCTCGATACATCAAAGTTGACGTGAAAAGGGTCCCAGATCCCCCGAGGGACATTAAGGCCAACAAGAAAGGTTCTGCTTTATGGGCCCCGGGGCGAATCAGGAATGGAAATGGATATTTGGGGGCGGGGAAGCGAGAGGGCGAGGGTATTTTTTCACCTGGTCCGATTAAGGCTGGTGGGAGCCAGTTGTACATGGACTTGTTCCCGTGTAGCATGGTGAACTCGTTTAAGAATAATACAATTCTTGTATTTTCTGCAGCCCCAAATATTCTTGTGTTTCCCCAAATCTCCAATATGTGGATTAAAAAAAATTTTGGGGGGGTGGGTATGTGTTTTGAGGTGGAAGTGATGGTGCTTTTTCCAGCTGGAAGGATGATGACCGAGGTATTCTGGATCATTAAATATTCTGGATCATTAAAGGGACAAATAAAAAGAGATGTGCCTTAATGCAGAAGATGGGAAACTTAAAAAATTCTTTTTTTTTTTTTAAGGGATATTCCAACTTGGAATGCTGAAGGCTGAGGGAATATGTGACCTCTAGTCGATAAAAGCATGAATGAGGTCTATGTAAGACAAATTAGTTAAAAGAGGCTCTGTTTTATGGAGGAGGAAGTTGACCCAGGGGATGGTTAGGGTGGGAGGTGATAGTGGATTGACTGGTGAAGGGCTTGAAGTGAAGAGGTGAGGAAAAGGGGTTGCTTTTTCTTCTGGAACATGGCAAGGGTTTTTTTGTTTTTTGTTTTTTTTTCTCCTTTCCTCACAAGAGTTGGGGTTGGAGACTAGACTAACGTCTTTCCTCCCAAGAGGGAGGCACAGAGGGACCACAGAGCTATTTATCTCCATTTCCTCTTCTGGCTGCTTCCCTGGTTTTCTCTCTCTATCATTTTCTCACTGGGAGACCCGGACGGAGAGAGTGCTGGTGTGGCTGTGATAAAAGTGAGATGTAGATGTGGAGATGCCCTCCTGCTGACTTGTGCAGTTGGCTTTTTCTTAGGACAGCAGAGTAGAAAACCTGAAGGGACCTTTGTAAGGAAATGACACAGGCACACGCAAGAGTGTAATGGGGAAGGTAAGAGAGCATATGATGGTGCCATTGGCAGTCCCCTAAGAGAATTACTCTAACTCAGTTCAAATCAACAAGTGCTTATTAATTGGGAAGGGAAGGTAGCTAAGCTTTATTGAGCATCTGTTATATGCCAAACCCTGTACTAGGTGCACTAATATATATCTTATTGAATTTTCACCACCAAACTGAGGCTTAGAGAAAGTAAGTAATGTGTTCACAGTCAAATGGTAGAACCAGAATGTGAACTTAGGCCTACTTGACTCCACTTTTGCCACTCCATTATGTTATATTGCCTCATTATTATTATTATATTATTAGCGATATTAATAATTGGCCCCCTCTAGGAGCTAGGCAGTGTATGGGCCTTACAGAGAACTCACTCAAATTGGGGAGACAAAATGAAAACATGAAACAGTTAACAAAAAGGAATCTAGAATAATTAGTTGAGACTGGTGTTTCAGGCTTTCAATAAATGGAGTGACTAGAGTTATTGAGAGTAAGGGTCAGAGTTATTGGAGAAAGCTTCATAAAGGATGAGTCTTGAAGAAAGACCAGGAAAAGGAGGGGGAGAAATGAGAATGAAATTGGTGCTTCATTTTTTTTTGCAAGAATCTTGAGCCTCCTATACCTGGTCCTGATCTCCTTTCCTGTTGAAGGCATTTGTTTTGGGTGTAATTACTAGTTAGGTACCCGCAGGTAGGAAGACACTCATTTGTATGGGTATGCGTTTATAACTGCTTCTGTGGCTTGGGATTTGCAACTCTCCTTGGATAGGATTATTCTCTAGGAAGACTGCCTGCCTGGCATGAACCACAGAACTTGCCTTGCCCAGGAGACTAGACTTCGGATGGAAGAAATAGAAGCCACTTTACTGTAGGCTGACTCCCAATTGTTTTCTGATTTTCCCTAAAGTAATAACATTGATTTATTAAAACTCATAAACCCAGTTTGAGTCTAGTGCTTGACAGCAGTTCTGTGCTTCTGTGTTTCTGTGCTTAATGGCAGTTCTCAGAATTTTGCAGTCTGTCTTCTTTTAAGGTGTCTGTATTTGTTAAAAACATCGCAGTTAAGTATTGGTGAGTGGCTTTATTGAAAGGTGTCTGAGTTAAGGCGCAGATACCTGTTTATGACAAGCTCAGTGACTTAAAAAGGTGCTTTTTGCTCTAAAGACTGATTTTAATAGATTTGTCTCACAGTTTTAGCTACCTAGATAGTATTCTGTGAGCAGGTGTCCTATATGCCTGATATTATTTTCCTGGTGCTTGCATAGGAAGTCACGAGTATAGCCTCCGAGTAAAATTTAAGAATATTGGTCCCATTTGAATTATGGAATGCTAAAATACGGAGGGTTTTAACAAGTATTTAAATAATTGGAGATTTAAAGGAGGGCTTAAAATAGGCAGCGTCTTAGAGCAGCCTTGATACACAGCAGATTCTTTTGAATTTCTGTAGTGTAATTGTGGGCAATGGAATCTGGGGATCTTATCACTGACCAGCTTGATGGGAAAATTGGAGGGTGTTTCTCTCTTTCTTTTGCTTGAAATGTGTTTTCATTGGTTGCCTGAGATCTTTAGGTTAATTGCACATTAACAGATCACTGAAAAATATTTCTGTTCCACTAAAACGTGATATCAAGCTCATTATATACCTTTTTAGTTAATTATTACTAGTTTATATATATATATGTCTGAAAATGCATGTCTTCTTTCAAGGTTCGTACCTAAATTAGAAGTGCAGTTAATATTGCATTTTAACGATGTTTGTGCTTAAACAAGGAACAAGCGTCCGTTTGTATATGTTGTTTTTTCTATGTTTTACCTTCTCACTGGTTATGAGGTAAGTTTTCTCTCAGATTCTCCCCTGCCTCTGTTCCAGTGATTCCAATTCCACTGACCAAGTGAGCTTTTTCAACCTCGAATGTCTCAATGTTTGAATTTGAAAATCAGTATAACAGGCATTCTAGAGATTATGTAGAGTATCTAGAGATTGCAGATTTGATAAGTCCACAGATGTTTATTCCACACCTCTGTATAGAGTATATATGCTAAGAAAAATGAGACATAGTATCTCTCTTCTAAGATCTTTCCATCTGGCTGGATAGACAAGATAAATACATTTAAAAAAAGTTTACTAAAAACTTGCCCTTGTATTTGAACTAGGGTCCTTGGATCAGCAGAATAGGCATCAACCAGGAGCTTTTTGAACTGCAGATTATCGGGTCCCACCTGACGCCTACTGAATCACACTTTGCATTTGAATAAGATCTCCAGGTGATTCACATACACATTAAATTTAAGATGCACTGAACTAAAGGGTATGTGATTAGTGCTAAAGATGTGGCAACAACACCAAGTACTCTCACTTTTTGAGCAACTGCTATATGTCACATGTGATACCCAGTTCTTTAGAAATATCATTTAATCCCTACCACAACAATGTATTGTACTGTAGACGTTTAAAAGAGGGAGAGATGGATGTGGGCTAGAATGGGAAGGGAATGCTTCATGGAAATAGTGAGATTTGAACTGAGCCTTGAAGAATTTAAATCAAAAGAGATAGGTTGGCTCAGTCCAGACAGTGGATGGTATAAGGAAAGTGCACTGGTAGAAAAGAGGGAGACAGCCAAGAGATTCGATTGGTGCATTATCTGGGAAGCGCCGGTTCCCATTCTTTTCTGCTCAGTCTTTGGGCATTTCATTAAGAATAGGGGAAGCGCAGAAGTCTGGACCAATGCTTGTGTGTAGTTCTAAAAAAATATTTGAATTGAAACTTGGGGGGAAAGCTCCAGTGAGTTTTGAGGCTTCTCTCCACCAAATATTTTATCTACATGTCCTGTTTCTAACACACATACTGATTACATTGAATTTCATTGTTCATAGCAACAGTAGCTTATAGCTTAGAATTCTAGGTTATTAGAGCTGGAAGATAATCCGGGTTACTTTATAAATGGGGGAAATTTTAAAAATAAATTTATTAATTTTTTTGGCTGCGTTGGGTGTTCGTTGGTGTGCGCGGGCTTTCTCTAGTTGCGGTGAGCAGGGGGCTACTCTTCGTTTCGGTGCGCGGACTTCTCATTGCGGTGGCTTCTCATGTTGTGGAGCACAGGCTCTAGGTGTGCGGGCTTCAGTAGTTGTGGCACACAGGCTCAGTAGTTGTGGTGCAGGGGCTTAGTTGCTCCGCGGCATGTGGGATCTTCCAGGACACGGCTCGAACCTGTGTCCCCTACATTGGCAGGTGGATTCTTTTTTTTTTTGGCAGGTGGATTCTTAACGACTGTGCCAGCAGGGAAGTCCCATAAATGGGGGAAATCTTGTTCTGAAGAAGCAAAGTGGGTTGTTCAAATTTACTCAGGACTAGGATCTAGAACTTCAGTCTTTCTTCTAAGCCCAGAGAAATGGAACAATTTGCCCAAGGTCAAATAAGAAGTTAGTGAGAGAATGGAAACCAGAATTTGCATCTTCTGACTCTTAAGTTACTCTGAGTAGATTCTTTAAATTTAACCTTTTTTCTCCTTGAAAATTCTGTTTGTGTCCGCTGCTTTTTTTTTTTTTTTGGCTGTATGCGGGCCTCCCACTGTTGTGTCCTCTCCCGTTGCGGAGCACAGGCTCCAGACAC